TAGCATTATATTTCATAGGAAAGCCTAAATGCATTCATACAGTATATGTGATTTGAATGACGTGATAGGCGACCTCTCTGTGATCCGTATAAATTTGAGATTAATCTACAAGTAAAAAAAAAGTAATAATCCGCAGATCAAGTGTGTTCTGAAACGTGAGTTGTGATCCTTACAAATCACGGATTAACCGTGGTTCGTTACACCCTTAATGAATATTGTCAGCTAATGCAAATGTATTATTTGCTTTAAAAATAAATCCTATTAGACCCTTTTCACAACACTGTTATGGCATGTTTAATGGTCATCATAATCGTAAATCCTTGAAAGTTTTTAATATTTACATTTTTAAAAATAGCATATGAAAATGTGATTCACTGCGCTCTAAGTTTACCCAACTATGACGCCCTACTGCTACTGAGAAATCCAGAAATGTGAAAAGGGTCTTTTGTACTTTGACTTGTTTATTTATGTGTAAAGTTATTTATATAATAATGTGGCATATGTAGTACATTGTTAAACATACTAAATAAAATATAATGTGTTTCAACAGCCTTTTTTTCTTTTTTCTTTTTTTTTATATGGACTGGATTAGTGTTTATTAGTCCTGTCATTATTACTTATTCTACACTATAAAAATGCTGGGTTCCACACAATTGATTTGTGTTGGGACAGCATGTAAGAAGTTAATAATTAGTTTTTACATGTTGAAATGGATGGAACATAAAGCAATTAAGTTGACCCCCCCCCCCTCCCCCCAATCTCAAGAAATGTGTTGTTTTAGCTTATTTTAAATGTAAACCACCAGCAAAAATAATGCTTGAGTGTAAATGTTGAATGGATTTTGACATAACCCTTCATTTAGCATTGTTTTAAGTCAATAGCTGTGTCCCAAATCGCATACTTATGCACTATTCTATGCCATTTTGTAGTATAAATAGGGCAAGTAGTGCGTTCACACCGAAAACTCTAAAAATAATAAGTGCACTTTAATTACCCTGATGATGCACTCATTCAGCTGCTAAAATGAAGTGTGGAATGATGGACAGTTCACACACTCAACTACCGCAGGTTTGCTTACGTATCAGAAGGGGCGGATCTATCGGGCGCACGTTCGATAACTTTATTTGTTTTGAATGGTGAAAGCAAATTTCTCCTGCGAGACTGATTATAGCACCTCTCGATGGTGAATGCGGTTATACTCAAGGCAGGTCTTATTTGATAGTTTGCTCAATGCTCATTTATTTAACTGATTTGGCAACCGTGAAACGTCATCAGAGAAATGGTTTGAATTTCCTCTTAGTAAAAAAACAATAGTGCTCCATTTGGGACGACACTACATACATATACTATCCTGTTGAGTGTGTAAGTGCACAAGTACATAATGCATGAGTGCAAAGTGTATAGTGTGCCATTTGGGATGCAGCTAATATATACATTTGTAAATTCTAAATATTATACTAAATATTTCCCTCACAGCTCATTCAGCTGCCAATCTTGTTCATAGTTTAGTCACATCCCTTTAGATTACTGTAATTCCCTTCTGTTTGGCCTACCTAAAAAAACTCTTCATAAATTACAACTAGTACAAAACGCTGCAGCCCGTATTATCACAAAAACCCCCTCTGTCTGTCACATCACACCTATTCTACAACAGCTTCACTGGCTTCCCATCTCTTTTAGAATCAAGTATAAAATACTTCTTCCCACAATCCCACAAGTCATCCACAATCTTGCTCCTCCATACCTTACTAATCTTGTTCATATTGCCACACCTTCTCAAACAATCATATCTTCTTCTTCCATTCACCTCACTGTTCCCTCTGTCCGCCTTGTCACCAGGGGGAGCAGATCCTTCAGCCACTCTGCTCCTCAGCTTTGGAATTGACTCCCTCCTGATCTCTGTAATTTAGACACTCTTTCACAATTTAAGTCCAGACTCAAAACACATCTGTTTAGAACAGCCTATTCTCTTTGACCCGATTGCATTTTTAAAGCTTGTATTGTATTCTATTGTTTATTGTGTTTTTATTTGAATTGATTGTTTTAGCTGTCCTGTACGGTGACCTTGAGTGTCATGAAAGGCGCCTATAAATAAAATGCATTTATTTATTTATTTATTTAATCTAAATATTATATTTGTAACACAAGTAACACAATTACACTTTACTAACTAATCAAATTACATGCATAAAATGTCATTCGTTACATTACTGCGTTCCTCAAAAATGTACTTGGATTCAATCAACTGACAACAGAGTTGGGTGTAACGCATTATCAGTAATTATGCTCCACTCTGGTGTCAGTTGATTATGATTAGTATTTCATATCTAATAGTATTAACATTTTGCTCATATTCATTGCACTACATTGCACTGATTCATTTATTTGAACTGTGCATAGCCACTGCACATGGACATTTGTAATTATGTACACACCCACTGTACATATACATTTGTAATTGTTTATCTATCTGCACACTTCTGGTTATTAATAGCAACCTGTACATATATTCATTTATTGTAAATCTCTGTTCATAGCTAATACAACCTGTGTATTATGTTCATAGTACATCCATCTGTAAATATGACCATAGTTTTTCTATAATTGCACTTTATAACTTAAACCTGTATCCTGCACTTGCTGCTATTGCACTGCTGGTTAGACTTAAACTGCATTTCGTTAGCTTGTACTTGTACAAGTGTAATGACAATGAAGTTGAATCTAATCTAATCTTAGTATTTCAGTCTAATGCAATGTAGATTAGTGCCACTGTCTGCAGGATTTTCAGCATATGTGAAAGCCCACATTATCTGTGCTATTCGTGTATACTGGGTTTGTCCCAGCACACGCATGGCATGTGAGAGGAGGAGAGTGTAGGAGTGCATGAGGAAAGGCATGCATTACGAGAGAGAAAGTCTGTGTTTGAAATAGCATGCTGCTAACATACTGTTCTAAAGCCCTATTTTTATGCTAACGTTTACTCAGGAGGACATAAGGTCATTTCAGAATTTACTGGTGGTAGTGTGTGATTTTAAGGTGTGGTATGTAGGACTTCCGGGTGGCATGGTGGCTCAGTGGTTAGCACTGTCGCCTCACAGCAATAAGGTTGCTGGTTTGAGTCCTGGCTGTGCCAGTTGGTGTTTCTGTGTGAAGTTTGCATGTCCTCCTCGTGTTCTCGTGGGTTTCCTCTGGGTGTTCTAGTTTCCCCACACAGTCCAAAGACGTGCTATAGGTGTATTAGATGAACTAAATTGGCCGTAGTGCATGAGTAGAGTGTGTGTGAATGAGTTTATGAGTGTTTCCCAATACTGAGTTGCACTGGAAGATCATCCGCTGTGTAAAACATATGCCAGAATGGTTGGTGGTTTATTCCACTTTTGCGACCCCTGATAAATAATGGACTAAGCTGAAGAAAAATTAATGAATGATTTTTACATCCAGCCCCTTTGAAATAATGTAAAAATGTATAAACCCATATTTGGGTTGCCAGATTGGCCATCAGTAGTTCAAAGTTATGCTTGATGATACGCTGTTTGCAAAATAAAAAGCACCTCAAGTCATTTTTGTCTGTGCCTGCATACTTTGAGGCAGCCTTGACTGATACTAATAAACTGTGTTTTCCACCAAGGTCAAAATATTATTGGGTAAACTGGCAGTGGGCGGAGTTACACAGACCAAAACAAAGACATTTAATTCAGCAAAATATAAATTGAAGGCATATCCTGAGAATTGTTACGAATCTGGGAGGAACTTCTGCCGAGAATGAACGAGCACATGCCTCTCTCTCTCTCTCTCTCTCTCTCTCCCTCTCTCTCTCTCTCTCTCTCTCTCTCTCTCCCTCTCCCTCTCTCCCTCCCTCCCTCCCTCCCTCTCTCTCTCTCTCTCTCTCGGGAAATATTGTAAAAAATTTGAAAATTTCTTTTCCTCAATCCTTATCAGATTATATATTAGAATCCATGTCAAACAACTTCACAGATGTCCCTTTTCCAGAAATGCATGTAATGCCAAAAATAGAAAATTTTGGAAATAATGATGATGATGTTAATTTGCTTCTATCTTTTAAAAATGTAAAAATTCTTCCTTTTTCTATAACAAATAAGCGAGTTTTATATAATATTTGTGTAAAGTTATTCTTTATTAGACAGTTAAAAGGAAGAAAAGATACAATATGGAGATCTTTGTTCTCTGAATCTGGAATTATTTCGCCTTCTTGGCGTTTACTATACAAAAACCCTCTTCCAAAAAGGTCTGGAGATTTACAATGGCGAATTTTGCACTGTTCTTTGCCAACAAGAATGTTTCTGTTTAAATGCAATTTTTCAGATTCTTCTTACTGTCCTGTGTGTAAAAAACTTGATGATGTTTTTCATGTTTTTTATGAATGTCGTAAATTATTGCCATTTTTTTATATGTTTAAGAAGATTTTTAGCAGGTTAGGACTTAATTTTACAAATACAATGTTTATTTATGGTTACAAGTACTCTTTTAAAAAAAGAGAGATTTGTACTTTTTCCAATTTTCTTATTGGCCAGGCAAAATTAGCTATCTGGAAGGCATACAGAGCTGACTTAGAAGATCAGAAAGTTAATGTAATTATTTTGTTTAAAGCTTTTGTAGAATCAAAAATTCGTTTAGAACATGAATATTATCGAATGAACAATGACAAATTGAGTTTTGAAAGAAAATGGTGCATTGGCAAGGGCTTTGTATTTGTGGAAGACAACAATATTTTTTTTTGACTGGGAATAAGATTAAAAATTTTTTTTTTATAGTTTTATGAAATATATTGCTTTTTAAATTGTATATAATGTAAAATATATAGCATTAAAAGTCAAAAGTCTCTCTCTCTCTATCTCTCTCTCTTTCTCTCTCTCTATCTATCTCTCTTTCTCTCTCTCCCTCTCTCTCTTTCTGCCTCTGGTGCTCTCGCTCTCTCTCTCTGTTGCTCTCTCTCTCTCTCTCGCTCTCCCTCTCATGCTCCTCCCTCTTAGAGTGTTGATTGGCGAGCAGAAGGTGGACACTCGTGCGTTCAAAATGAGCATTATTCTTTTGAGACCTGGACGCGCAGACTGGCGCAATAACCAAGGTCATCCCAGCAGGATCATAGCTTCCCCATCGCTGCCCATTAACATGTGCGATTTGCTCCCGTTTTGTATCGCATCACTTTCAGCCTTCAGAGCAGCAAACCGCAAGTGTGTGAGCTTGTAGAGTGTCTCTAAAAATCTCTCATCTGAGACCCTTCAGGAGAGGACTGAGAAGAGAGAGCAGCTTCACTGACATCCAGAGCAATGTATGGTAAGCACTTCAAGCTTGTGTGTGTGTGTGTGTGTGTGTGTGGTTTGTGGAGGTTTGTGCGTAATGAAAGGAAACCGGAATCTTCCCTAACTGCATTCCTTGAGCACTCATGCATGACTTCTCTTTCCAGCACTCAAGAAGTCACTATAAACGCTAATGTGTGTGTGTGGTGGATCTGCTAATCAGACGCTGTGATGAGATTGATTTTTGGTAGGTTTGTTTGATTGATCTCAATGGTGATGATGGGCTTCTTAAGAAGGGCAAAGTTTTGTAAGTGCGTGTACATTTACGGGAGCTGGTCTGAGCTGTCTTTTGTACTACGGTACATTGTGTACGTTTGATGACCCTTAAGTGCGGTTAACTGAGTTGTGGTGTTAACAGATCGGGTTTCCAATGGATGTTTATCGATTTAAAGATGTGAGGACACAGTTGACCTCTTAGTCAGGTCACAGTAGAGCTGATCAGTGCTATCATAGATAAGACTGTTGCTGTCAATCAGTTCTTTAAGCTTTGATTTTAACCTCAGTTCTTTAGTTTCAGTTTAAAAGCTTTTTTTTAAATGCCATTTCTCGTTACAGGACACTATTTAGACTCTTATGAAAGTCCATGGGCATTTTTTTGTCATGTTTATTAAGATTTAAACAGCATTTTAACAGTACAAAGACTTGTCTACAGATATCAGATAATTTTTTTGGCAAATATTTTTTGTGTTTATTTTTCTCACCTTATTGTTTGACTGTCTAATTAGGATAGCTATTAGTTTCAGATGTGGTGTGGTGAAAATGATAAAACTTCACAATTTTGCATTACTTGTTTGACCTAAAGAAGACAGTGTAGGTCAAAACATTTTAATCTTCATATACCATGGTCCCTTTCTTTAACGCTGTTCATCTTTTGCAGTTTCACAGATTTCAGTGCAATTTGCCATGCTTTTTTTCTACAGCGCATTGTGTTCTGTGTCTTGATTGGCTGTAGACCACTGTTATTTAATCTCCTCCATGCTGTGTCTCCTGTACAGTACAGAATGCGTTTGCTTGCCAAATTTACACACATTTTCGATCACTAGCAGTGTGACTCTGAAGTGCTGTACTGTTTGCAAGTTTTCGCCCCAACAAACCCCACAATGTCGATGAAGTCTTCTGCACCGTCAAAGGCACCTGCAGTAGCACCCAAAAGGCAGAGGAAGATGCTAACCATCGCACAAAAAGTTTGAAAATGTTAATGGCTGTCTTAGAAAAGTGTGTAAAGTGTGTAGTGAGGAGTTTTACAGCCTTAAAACATCTATAATAATTGTAAAAAACAAAGCGGACTACTCTACAGAATTCACCTATTGAATGTAGAACAGAATAATGTATGAATGTAGAACGTGACACCTGGTTAAATTATATGTCTTTGGGATGTGTGCATACTGACTTATTTCCATCATTTTCATCTTTTTTTTTACATTGGTAACAGCCATTTTTAACCATAATACATCATCATTAATGTTAAATGATTGTTTACTTTTAGGGATTTGCTTAAATTGTAATAACAACAGTTTATTAAAACCAAATACTTACTCCCAGGGCCATTTATATCAAAGTTGATATTTAGTCACACCATATGGGTGTTTCGTAACCTCATTTTACAAAGTGGGTCTTGACCCAATGCTTAACGCTCAGCCTGGAGGACCAGAAATACACACATACACCATGGACAAGTTAGCTTACCCTAATTCACCTACTGCGCATGTATTTGGACTGTGGAGGAAACCTGAGCACCCAGAGGAAACCCACGCAAACACAGGGAGAACATGCAAACTTCACACAAAACAGCCAACTCATCCAGCCGGGGCTCGAACCACCGAACTTCTTGCTGTGAGCAATCCACTGAGCCGCCCTAATTAAATCAAAATAATCATACAAAATTATTATCCCAATATACAAAAGCTGGTATCATATGACGTAGCTTACAAAAACTGTGACAGCTCAGATGTGACATTAATTGTATTTATTTAGAGGATCTGAAATGGTGGCTTAAAGAACGTTCGCATTTATCAGAAGGTGCATGCTTTGGCATTCAATTATAATTTAACAGAGCTCATTATCTTCTCTTACTTGCAGCACACTTTGTTTGAGTATAGATGCATACTTGAAGCAATCGATCGATATGCCTCAATGGAACACAAAAAAATCAAGCGAGTCAAGAGACAGAAAGTTACAACCAGACTGACGATAATGCTACTATCTCCTCGGAAGCTAACACCAGTGTTTCCAAACCTGGTACACGGCAAGTTATTACAGAATTCTGGAAAAAGACATTACCTAAATAAATGATGAAAAGCTGAGTCCGCTGTCTCCGCTATTGCAACAACAGAACGAAAAATTTGATCACCATAAAAAACGCATCGGCAAAATCTGACCATATGAAGATCGTAAGAGCCCATCGCGTTTCAAGCAGAGCTGTCAAGACAGCATTTCCGTATTTAAGGGCTGTTATAGTGAGACAATAATTGTACTTTCACTTTAATTAGAACGGCAAATCATGAGAGTAATGTTTGAAATGTAGCGTTATTTAAAATGAAAATAAGAAATGGTTACGAATATTATAACAATGAAACTAAACCTACCTAAATTGAATCAGTTTCAGTCTATAGCTTGTTTTCCATCAGCCTGAGTTAATGCAAATTTTGTTTAAAATATAAAAAAAATTCAGAAATTGCGAAGTTGTGTTTATGCTTACTTGATGTTGTTTTGCGAAAAAGGGTTAATACAAATTATGTGGATATATATCATTAACACTATTAGCAAAAAAATCCTGATGTAGGAAACATTACAGCCATATTATTTAGTCCAGTGGTTCCCAAACTTCTCAACCCGCGACCCCTAAAATAACAATGCCAGTGACTTGCGAGCCCAACATTCCTCGGAGGTGGTTAAAAATATACAAACGTTGCATAATAATTGGTCCATGTAAACTTGAGCATATTGACAACACAAAAAAGTGCAAGTCTAACAACCATATCATCTTATCGTCATTTATTAATTTGTTTAATTTAATATTAACCTCAACTAAAGAGACTGGTGGGCACAATGTTTTCAGCACAAGTCTATTCTTGGTTTGATTTTAGAGATCATCACACACAGATAGTCCTCAATGCTCAGTTCCTGCATTCATTTTTAATGTATTTGATTGGCATAAAGGTGTCAGAAAGTTTAACCTGGTGCATTAAAATTCGCTGCAGCTGATGCTATTGCTGTGTTGTTAATCTAATGTAAACACACAGATCCTATCAAAAATAATTGAAAGGTTGATGTCTTTTCATTTGCATGATGTTATTTTTTTGTAATTATTAAATTTTTTTTTTTTCTTCTGGGGTTATGGATAATACATGGTAATTCCAATAGTTTATTCAAATTTATTTGACTTTTGGAAATCACCAAGCAACCTCCTGTCATTGTCCCACGACCCCCACTTTGTAAACCACTGTTTTAGCCAATGTGCAATTTAGCAATACTACAACTGAATAAAATTTTGAGAATTTTACTTTATATCTTTCAAAAATTTGAAAAGATTTGCTTTGCTTTAGGATTGAATCCAAGCTATTAGCTTGCAAGATTTATTCAAAACAAGCTCTGTTTTGCTCCTTTGTGCAAGAGGTTGTTCAGAAATTTTTTTGGTAGCAAAATGGTGCTAAAACAGGTAGTAGCTTGTCTAAATTTAGTTTTAAGCTTAGCATAATTTGCCCTAAGCGTCGTTTATTTATGATAATTAAATTTTATTTGACAGGCTGCAAAGAAACAACAGTAGCTAGTTAACCTGTCCTACCTTGTAAACGTAGATGCATCAAAAACACAATGTCTCTGAACACTTTTAATAGTGCTGTTCTATATTTTGTCGAGGTTACAAAAATGTATTTTTAAAGGACAAATCAGAGACCTCAATAAAAAAAATATTGTTTAAATATTATACTATTCTGATTCATTACTGTATATGCAATGACATGAAATTTGATCAGATGGCAATATGGATTTTTCTCTTTAATTATTTTCCATCATTACATAGATTTGCAGCCGATGGCTTCAGGTAGAGGTGTATGGTTGTGTGTGTTTTAGAGACGTCCGCTAAGGCGGCCCTTCTCCCCTCTCATGTAAAAATAGAAGATTGTGACTCTAGCTGTATGTTATATAACATCACCGAAGGGCAGCGCAGCGTCTCCTAATGCTGACCCACTGAGCTCTTCACATCGCTGATTGTGTATGTTTTATACGTGTTTGTTGCAGTTGATGCCATATAATAGTGAGATCTGACTACAAATGTTTTAGTGAAATTGATATATAGAGACGGTTCTAATGTTTCCAGTGACAGTAGTATTGTACGTTCACACAAAACAGCACACTTCCCTTTACTAAATTAGCATTTGGTGTGAGTTTGCAGCCAGTGTCGTGTCACTTTATGCTTTACTCTTGATGAATACAAACGGTCCTTAAATACACTGTTAAAAAAAATCTTGCTTTCTTAATTTTATTTTGGTTGAATCGAATGAACTTTTCTAGTTATCTCAGCTTGCCTCAATCAGACTGACTAAACCTACTAAGTAAAAGCTAAAAAAAATGGCAAGATGTCCTTGCTGCAGTCTATAGCAAGATGACTTACTAGAATAGTAAGTAACACACACTAAGGCACTGTTTACACCAATACGTTTTAGTTTTAAAACGCATATGTTTTGCTACGTTTATGCCATCCGTCCACACTACACCAGTTTTCGAGAGCATTTCCGAACATTTTGGAAACGCTGGAAAAGCTTTTTTAATTCTAAAACACTGCTGTTCAGTGTTAGTGTGGATGGGGGAAAACGGAGATGTTTGAAAACGGAGGCGGGGCTGCAGACATTCGCCTATCTGATTGGGGCTTTACCCTCAATATTAAGTCGCCTACACACAGTTCAGTCCTGCATCCTCTCCTTGTAAGTTTAGACTTTCCAAGTTTGATATGGGAAGTAGACTCCCGAGGACACGGGT